AAAAAAAAAAAAGAAAATCAAATAGAGGACTAGGGGAAATAGCTCAGTGGTGGAGCAATTGCCCAGCATGTGGGAGGACCTAGGTTGATCCTCATTGCAGCAGGGGCTTAAAAAAATAACAACTCAGACAGAAAAAGAATAAAGACACAGTGACTTTTAAGAACAAGATTAATAAACTTAATCTGAACCAGGCATGGTGGCTCACACCTATAATCCCAGCTACTAAGGAAGCAGAGGGAGGGTATCACAAGTTCCAGGCCAGCCTGTGCAAGTGAGTGAGACCCTGTCTCAAAATAAAATCAGAAGGTCTGAGGTTGTCGCTCAGTTGTAGAATTGGAGACCCTGGGTTGAATTGCCAATATCGCAAAAGCAAAACAAAAGAAAACACACACCCACACACACACACATACACACACACACACACACACACACACACACACACATATAAATCTAATAAACATTATCAAACTTTGTGCCAATGAACATGCATAGGCTTTTCTGACACACAAAGGAATATTCCCCAAAATTGACTACACTTCCGGCCATAAAGAATATCCTAACAAAATTGAAAAAGCAGAAATTGTCTAGATTGTATTCTCTGACTACAAAAAAAAAAAGTAACTAACTACAAAAGGACCTCCCCGCCCCCACCCACCCAAGAAAATCTTACTTCTTGGGATTTTAAAATTAAACTTCCAAATATTTGGGGCTGGACTGGCTCTAGCTTAGCCATTCCTTTGACAGAGAGCTAAAGAGAAAATAAAACAATTAAATAGAAATTACGAACTAATTAGAAATGAAGAGCACAATATATGAAAATCTATGGAATATAATGAAAGCACAACTCAAGTGCAAATTTTATATTTTGAGTGAATTGATTAGAAAACAAAGTGGGAGTGTGGAAAATAAAAGTAAAAGAATTAAATTTCCAACTTGAAAAGCCGGATTGTAGGGAAGAAGGGAGCATAGAAAACATAGTAACAACCGCCAAACCTTGCTCTCAAAGTTCCCACACCCATGTCACCAGCTAAGATTCACCATCTGGAAGTTTATTAGAAATGCCCTGGAGGCCTGGTGATGGAGCGTATGCTCAGCTTGTGCAAGGCCCTGAGTTGGATCCCCAATACCACAATGAAAAAGAAATGCACTTGATCTAGGGCTCCACCTAGGATGACCAACTGTCCCATCCTGCCCAAAACTGAGGCATTCTCAGAACATGGGGACTTGCAATACTGAAAACAAGAAAATTCTAGACAAACCAGGAGGAGTTAGTCACCCTACCTAGGAACTAAAATCTGCATTTCAACATGATCCCTAGGTGTTTTCTATGGATGGTGAAGTTCAAGAGGCACTGATCTTATATAAACTTTCAATTAATATGCATAGAGCACCTTATCTTGGCTGTGTTTAGCCACTAACATTGGAAGTGCCCTGAGACTAAACAAGACCACCCTGAGTTAGACGAATCTTTTTTTTTTTTTTTTTTTTTTGGTACTGGGGTTTGAACTCAGAGGCACTCAACTACTGAGCCACATCCCCAGCCCCATTTTGTATTTTATTTAGAGATAAGGTCTCACTGTGTTGCTTAGTGCCTTGTAAGTTGTCGAGGCTGGCTTTGAACTTGCAATCCTCCTGCCTCACCCTCCTGAGCCAATGGGAATATAGGCATGCCTTTCTTTCTCTCTCTCTCTCTCTCTCTCTCTCTCTCTCTCTTTCTTCTTTTTTTTAATGGTGCTGGGGATTGAACCCAGGGTCTTGTGCATGCAAGGCAAGCACTATACCAACTGAATTATATCCCCAGCCCTTGGACAATTCTTGAAAACATTTTCCAGAAGAGAGGACCAGCATGGAAAGGAGAGCTAGTCATCACAAAGATGGTGCCTGGCATCCACCAAGTTCTTGGCTTCAAAGAACCCAAGGTCCTATACAATGTTTCCTTACAAGAGAGACCAGTGAAAGGGGTGTAGAAGACACTTAAGACCTTGGTAGGTACTAATACATAAAAGCTTCTGAACAACATTACAGTTTACAAAATCCTTCCATACACTCAATTTCATTTAATACCCACCACTTCCCTTATCTAACTCTAAGAAAATTCTAGCTCAGAGGCTAAGTTACTGAATTCAACTCTGAATTTCATTCCTACTGCAGAAAGGAGAGGATGTCCCTGAACATCAATAATTTTCCACTCAAGTGGGAGAGCAGAAGGTTGAAATTTAATGAAGAAATAAACACAAGGAGGTCAAATTTTATCTGAAATTTTGATTTCTTGGGGAAAGAGGGCAATTTAGCAAAATATTAAGACTCGATAAATTTGGAAATCTCAGTGCATAGATGTTCATTACATTATTTGTTTAAACTTTTCTATTGGACTGAAATATTGCATGGCTTTGTGAAACAATAAAGCAAAGGTCAGGAGAAAATAATCCCAATGCATATTGAGCTGTCACCTCTCTTCCACCTGGGTCTAGGTCTGGGATAACCTGTTGAGAGCCACAGCCAAAGGGGCCCCAGCAAACTTCCAGCTGCCAGCAAACTTCCAGCTGCCAGCTGATGATTGGCTCACAGCGGCCCCAGCAACATCTAGCTGATTGGCTCCTCTGGGTGATGTTCATTGGGCTGTTTCCCTGCCCTTCAGACTGCCAGCTGATGATTGGCTCACAGCGGCCCCAGCAACATCTAACTGATTGGCTCCTCCACGGAGCTGCTTTGGGGGACTTCTTTGGCTCCGCCCATGCAACCCAGCCAATCGGCCTCAAGAGCAGGAGGATTGTGGGAGGTTGAGAGGCTGGTGTGGGGGTGAGAGGCTTGTGGAAGCCGGTGGTGGCAGTTGGGCTCTGAGGGTTTTTTCCTGAGGAGCTGTTTTGTTTGGCGTTTGTAGTTCTAAAAATAAAGTTAGTTTCTTTTGACAAGTGGCTCCTGAATTGTGCCCAGACAGACTGCGGCAATAACCCATCTATCAGCTGAAACCCAGAGGACTGTGAGAGCATTAGGATAGATCAGTATGGCAGCCAAGAACCTGTAATCCCAGTGGCTCAGGAGTCTGAGGCAGGAGAATCTCAAGTTCAGGGTCAGCCTCAGCAACTTAGCAAGGGCCTAGGCAACTCAGTGAGACTCTGTCTCTAAATAAAATATTTAAAAAGAACTGGGGATGTGGCTTGGTGGTTAAGCACCCTGGGCTCAATCCCCAGTACCAATAAATAAATAAATAAATAAATCTTACAGACCTTGAAATATTTTCCATAAATATTTCAATATGACCAGCATGGAAAGGAGAGCTGGTCACCACAAAGATGGTGCCTGGCATCCACCAAGCTCTATCTTGTTCATTACCATCCCTAGCACCTAGAAAAGTTCCTGATATATGGTAGGTCCTCAAAACTATTCGTTGAACAAAAGGGTGGGAAAGGGGCTGGGTTATAGCTCAGTGGTAGAGCGCTCACCTCGCACTTGTGAGGTGCTGGGTTCGATCCTCAGCACCACATAAAAAAAAAACAAATAAATAAAGATACTGTGTTCATCTTTTAAAAAATAAATAAATCTTTTTTAAAAAGGGTGGGAAAGCAAAGGCAGTTGATCCTCCAGGAAATCATATCCTTGGAAAATTATTTGGATGGTTCTCCCTTTCAGTGGAGAAAAAAGTGTGAGAAAGAATAGACAAGTTCCAAGACATTATTCAGGTGCAGGGAGAATGGGAGCTCCTGAGCATCAAAAAGACTGCTCCAGTGGCTGGGGATATGGCTCAGTGGAAGAGCGCTTGTCTAGCACGTGCGAAGCCCTGGGTTTGATCCTCCATACCACATAAGAATAAATAAATAAAATAAAGGCATTGTGTCCAACTACTTAAAAAATACATATATTAAAAAAAAAGACTGCTCCAGAGATAACCGAGGGTGCCAAGCTGTATGATCAGATCGTGTTCTATGTGAGTTTGCTTTTTCCTTCCGTGTTTGCTTCTCCCTTTGCCTAGAGTCTGCATCACATGGGTATTACTCCAAGTTTCAGGGTCTTTCAGTCTTGACACTTGTGCCTTGAAGGAGGCCAAAACCTTTCTCCTGGATTCCCAGCCTAACTCTCTGAAGGCTTATGGCTGTGCTCACCCTCTGTTGGCAGGTTCTATACTGGATTGTGAGGCTGCACTTCATATGGCTGCTGATCCCAGGGCCCTATCAGACCATGAAGAAGACAGACCGAAACTGTCACTGCAATTCACAGAAGCAAACAGCTATCTATTCCTAGATTTGAGATTTCTCCCAAATCCCATATTTATTTCACTCCCTCTCTTCCCCAGCAGGTGGCCATCAGATGCAGGCCCAGGCTCTATGTGACAAACCTCCTGGTGCCCAGTGGCTTTCTGATGGCCACTGATGCCCTCAGTTTCTACCTGCCAGCAAAAAACCAGAATCGTGCCCCATTCAAGATGACCCTTCTGCTGGGCTACAAGGTCTTCCTGCTCGGTCAGTGACACGGCCCTCATCAGTATGGCCCCTTCCACTTTGCAGAGAAGCAATGGCAGCAGGGGACAGGGAGGGGCCAGAAGAATCAGCCACTGCTCCACTTAAGTGGGGAGGGAGGCTTCTGAGGAAACACTGTTTATTGGGAAAGAGGCTTAAAGAAAGTTTAGAAATGAAGCTGAAGAAGCCAGTTGTGGTGGCGCATGCCTATAATCCAAGGGCTTGGGTTGCTGAGGCTGGACATCTCTCCTGGGATAGAAGAATTGAAAGTTCAAAGTTAGCCTCAGTAACTTAGCCAGACCCTATGTCAAAAAAAAGAAAAAAAAAAAAAAGTTTTTCTGGTCCGGTGGCTTGGGAGACTAAGGCAAGAGAATCACAAGTTCAAAGTCAGCCTCAGCAATTTAGCAAGGCCCTAAGCAACTTAGTGAGACCCTAAAGGACTCAGATTAAGTGCCCTTGGGTTCAATCCCTCCCTGGTGAAGGAAGAGGAGGAGGAGGAGGAGGAGGAGGAGGAGGAGAAAAGAAATTAATCTCTCCAGATTTAGTATAATTTTCTTTGCCCTCGGAAGTCTACTTTGCCCTGTGTCTGTCCCTGATGGTGGCCAGTCTGCTGGAGACCATCTTCATCACCTATCTCCTGCACCTCACCTCCACCCAGCCCCCACCTATGCCTGGGTGGCTCCACTCCCTGCTGAGGCACTGCACCAGCCCAAGGAAGTGCTGCCCCCCTGGGGCCCAGAAGGAGAAGAAGGGTCTGGACCTCAGGCCCACCCACCTGCCTGGTGAGGAAGCCAGCACTGCCCACTGTCTCTTCCTGTTCCTCCACTTCTCTTCGCTTGCCTCCTCTCCTGTCTCCCTCCCTTCCCAGGTGAGCCCTGCACTTCACAGGTGAACCCTGCACTCCCCACAGGGGTGAAGGAGCCAGAAGACTTGGTGGAGAAGGTGTCAGGTACCAGGGAGGCGGAGCTAACTGGGTGCCCTGAATCAGCAAGAGCCCAGCAGGAACTGGAGGCCCAGAAGCAGCACTTGGTGAAACTGTGGGTGGAATTCAGCCATCTATCTGATGGATACCCTGCTCTTCCATCTCTACCTGCTCTTTATGGCCTCCTCCATCCTCACGGTCATTGCCCTCTGGAACACCTAGACATCATGTCTCTCTTTCCTGTAGATTCCAACCCAGAGCTGCTTCTGGCCTCCTAGGGCCAGCCTCATCTTTTCCCCTTTTTGAGCACCAACTGTCACGTCCCAAAGATTAACAATTCTACCTGTCCTATCCTAGCCCTGCTGCTTGTTATATCTCATCCCAGACATTTTCCCCTGTTCCTACATATTTGTGGACTTCCCTCAGTCCTACTGCATGGTTCTAGATCCCTTAGGTCTTCTGAATACAGCAGGTTCTACCCCACTCTACCCACTAATTTGCCTTAATAAATCAATTTGCAGAGATCTCTGGCTCTTTGTCATGTTATAGGGTAGGAACTTAATTATGCAAGACTGATAGTCCCAAAATATCACCTGTGCCTCCCTCTGCCTGTGATAAAGCTTTAATGTCATTAATGGTGACGCTTTCACCTCAAGTCCAGTGTGTCAATTTTTTTGTTGGAGGAGTTTTCATTCTCTAAGGTATTTTCAAAGACATGTTTTCCTATTAGTAGATTCTTTCAATTTACTTTTTTCCTTATCTTGTACTGATTTCATCTTAATACTCTCCTAATTTCTTCTCTTTCATTTGATTCCTTTTCTTATTTTACTAGTTGAATTTTCAAAACATTATCATTCTTTCTATAAATTTTCCTCTGAGATCAGCTTTAGCTCTATTCCAGAGGCTTTATGATAAGTTGTTCTCCTTTCATTACTTTGTAGATAAATCATAACTTTTATTTTTATTTCCATTTTCTCTTTGATCTAAAGTCTAGGGGGTGGGGTACTGGGGATTGAACTCAGGGGCACTCAACCACTGAGCCACATCCCAGCCCTGTTTTCTTTTATTTGGAGACAGGGTCTCAGTTGCTTAGTGCCACACTAAATTGCTGAAGCTGGCCTTGAACTCGTGATCCTCCTGCCTCCACCTCCCCAGCCGCTGGGATTACAGGCATGTGCCACTGTGCCTAGCGAGGGCATGAACTTTACATTTAATTTTTTTTTTAATTTATAAAGCTTTCTTTCTGGATGAAAGCATGATTGATTTTGTAACTGTTTCAAGACATTTTAAAAGCATATGTCCTGTCAGCATATGGTGGCATGCCTGTAATCTCAGAGACTAGGGAGGCAGAGGCAGGAAGATCACAAATTCAAAGCCACACTCAGCAACTTAGTGGGGCCCTAAGCAACTTAGTGAGACCCTTTCTCAAAATAAAAAATAGGGCTGAGGATGTAGCTCAGTGGTTGAGTGCCTTTGAGTTCAATCCCTGGTACAAACAAACAAACAAACAAAAGCATATGTTCTCAAGCTAGAGGTGTAGCTTAGTGCTAAAGCACTTGCCTGGCATGTATGGGTCCAATCCCCAGCACTACGAAAAAGGAAAAAAAAAAGTATATATATTCTCTGTTTATATGTACATGTATTAAACAGAGATTATTGGTAGCATTATTCAAATCCTCTTATATCAAAGCTTACTTTTGTCTACTTGGTCTCTTAAAGATCTGAAGTTATTTTATTCAAGTTCTCTGGGTAATTGCCGTTTTTCTTTTATGTAATTTTTTAATGTAATTTTATGTAATTGCTGCATAAAAATGTATGGTTGTTGTATCTTTTTGAATCATATCTGATTTTATCCTTAGATAATGTCACTATTTGTTCTGTTCAATGTGTTTTGCACATGATTTCCATTTGATTCATAGCAATGTTGCAAATCTTTGCTTTTGCCCAGCATATTTTTGCAGATCTCTTTAAAAAAAATTTTTTTTAACCAGGGATGGAACCCAGACCTTTTTTTGTATTTTATTTAGAGATAGAGTCTCACTTAGTTGCTTAGGGCCTTGCTAAATTGTTAAAGCTGGCTTTGAAATCGTGATCCTCCTGCCTCAACTTCCTGAGCCACTGGGACTACAGGCATGTACCACCATGCCAGGCCTCTCTTATTAATTCTTGATTAATTTTTGGAAAGGTAATAAATACACAAGGTACAACATCAAAAGACATAATATGACATAGAGTGAAACATAAGTCTCCTTTCTAACTTTGTTCCCAGCCCCTTGCTAGAAACAACCACTGTTATTTTCTCGAATATCTTTCAGTTTCTTTATTTTCCACCTTGCCTTGCCTCTTTATTTTAGGTGCATTTTTGGCAAACAGCATTAGTCTAGTTTTTATCTAATTCAATACCTTCTTTTAATAAATGAGTTCAGCCTGTTCACATGCAGAAAAAAAATGGTGCACTTGAGGGGACTGGGGTTGTGGCTCAGCGGTAGAGCGCACGCCTAGCATGTGCAAGGAGGCCCTGGGTTCGATCCTCAATATCACGTAAAAATAAATAAAATAAAGGTATTGTGTCCAACTACAGCTAGAAAATAGTTATAAAAAAATGGTGCCCTTGATTTCATATTTTCCATGTACTTTATGTTTACCATATATATTCCTTGGTGCTGTTTTCTCTATTTTCCCCCCTTTTTCTGGTTTAGTTTCTGTTCATATTTTTCCTGCTATAAATTTGAAGTTCTACAGTATCTCTTAAATTTCTGCTTATGATTATCTTCCTAACAGATAAAATTAGGACTCTATTTTTTCATTAATATATCAAAACTAAATTTTAATTCTGTTTTCCTACTAAAATGTTATATTTGCCCATTCTTCCCAACCCCAGCAAAGTGAAAACTAAAAGAGAGTTTTAAAAACATTTGCTTCCTAATTTGCTTTCCCTACCTTCATTTCAACACTCAGGATCTGTAAATAGAGTTTAAACTTTTAGTACTAGGCTATTGTTTTTTTTCTTACACTATGATTTCATTTTCAAGAATCCTTGTGTTTAAGTCATTTTCCCATTTATGCCTTAGATTTAACTCTTTTTATATTATGGAAAATTCTTCAAAACATCTTAGGTTACACTGCAGTGATGAATTAAGTGTAAAATGTCAGGAGATCCAGACAGTAAACGTTTATCTGAGTATTTATATCTGACTTTGGTTGCTGGGGAGTAAAACTGTGCACCACAAGTCACTACAGAAGAGGAAGAAGGAAGCACCACTATCTTGGTGATGTACCTCCCAAAAAGTTCATGACTTTTTCAGTTCCCACTGCAGGAGATGAAGAGTACATGTGAATCTTACTTACTTGTTTTGACACCTTGGTTTGGAGAATGAATGTGGTCCTGTTTTTTGTTTGTTTGTTTGTTTGTTTTGTGTGTGTGTGTGTGTGATACTAAAGATTAAACACATGGATGTTCTACCATTGAGCTACATCCCCAGCCCATTTTAATTTTTCAATTTTGAGATAAAATCTTACTAAGTTGCCCAGGCTAGACTTGATCTTCCAATTCTTCTGCCTCAACCTCCCAAGTAGCTGGGATTATAGGCATGCTCCACTGTGTCAGGCTAACCTTGGTCTTCTGTATGCTTCTGTATAAGAGAACTGGATATTCTCTACAGCAGTCTTCTCTTCATGCAATAGTATTTTGTTAACTAACCCTCTCATCCCCTCCCCAGAGGACAACCCCTTGTCCCACTATACTAAGAATCACAGGGCTAGGATTGTGGCTCAGTGGTAGAGTGCTCTCCAAGCATGTGTGAGGCACTGGGTTCGATCCTCAGCAACACAAAAAAATAAATAAATAAAACAAAGGTACGAAAAATTCCCCTGTTAAAAGTATATAAAAGAATCATAATATTTTTCTTACTCAGGTCATATATAGTCCTTTTAATCCTATGTAAATGATAAAGACAATTTTCCATCATTCTTTTCAAGTGACCGGCAAGGACTGTCTCTCTGGACCATGGGATGATCTCATTGTGGCTGAATCTGGGTCACATTCTTTATATCTGATGATAAGAAGAAGAACAGTTTCTTCAGGATCAGAAAGCAGAGATGGTAAAGAAAGGCATCAGCATGGCCTTTACTGAAAAGTTCCATGCCACTAAGAAATTTTATGGGTCAAGGGATAACTCTCTCATGACTAGAGTTTCATCCACAAGTATGCATATAATATATGGAGATGTGGAATGCCTCATTATTGTAGACATTGCAAGATAATTTTTTTATCCTTGGGATTGAACCCAGGGTGCTTTGCCACTGAATTATATCCCCAACCTTCTAATTTTTTATTTTGATATAGAGTCTTGCTAAATTTTTGAGGATCTCACTAAGTTGTTGGGTCGGTCCTCAAACTCGAAATCCTTCTGTCTCAGCCTCCCAAGTTATTGGGATTACAAGTGGACCTGCAGGAGAATTTAAATGACAGGGAAGGTATAGATTGATTCAGAAAAGTAGGAATGTTATGTATGATTTGAACTACATATTGTATCCTTTCCATGGAAGCCTCAATTCATGGTGCAAGGAGGAAATTGCTATCTTCAAGCACTTTCTCAAGATGGTTAACCTTCCCCAGACCCAAATGACTTTTACATCAGTAAATTATAGTTCCGCATTTTTCATCACCTGCCTTCTGATTCAGTGGCCATATTGGAGTCAGCCTACCAAATTCTTCTTCAGAGTTTATCCAGGAAATTTTACCATGACAATTATTTATGACTTCAGAAATAATTGAAGAATGTAAAATGATGATATGAAGAACAGTTTCTTCAGGATCTTGGGGTATTGATGGGTCATCCCAATAAGAAATGGTTTCAGAGGTTCGGTTGGACAACTCCATAGCTCTGGGCCCAAGATGAGGGGGAACATCATGACAGAAGGGTGTGGCAGAGGGAAACTGCTGGGTTCATGATCGCCAACAAGAGGAGAAAGAGAAGGAGACAGAGAGAGAGAGAGAAACTCTATGATACAAAGATCCAGTTTCTCTATTTCTCTCCTCTTTCCCTTCTCCAATCTAGTAAACTTTGTCGTTTTTACTGCCTCCTGGTTAACTCATTTCTCAAGTATTTTCCTCAATCAGAGTACTGGGTATATGCTCTGAATCCCTAAAACTGTCTTTTGTGTGGTGGATAATGCTTTCTCTTTTTTTTTTAACCTTTATTTTATTTGTTTATTTTTAT